ATTCAAATAACATGTCATTATAACAGTTATCTATTCTCAGTTTGAAGTGTTAAGAAAAGCTAGATCTCTATTTCTGTTTAAAGTGTGTACGACTAGCCTCTGTCACACTGGGCAGTTTTTTCTCAGCTGGATTGTTTCCCCTTTCAAATTATGTTTCTTGAGCATATTTAAATTGTGGTCCTTGTTACAGTTCGGATGGTGCTGCCACTGGCACTGGTGTGACTAGTGCTTCTTTTGGAACTCTTGGGTCTGGGAAAGCCAATGACATTAATTCTCCTGAGGCTGCTATATCAAATGGGAGAATGGCTAATACGCATTCTGTTGCATTGAGCTTAACAGCATCTGGAGGCATGTCATCAATTGTTCCAATGAGTTCAAATAATGGGCCTTTGGCCATAAACTCTTCTCCCTTCTCATTCCCACCTGCTCCAGCTTCCACTGGCTTTGCAAGTCAATTTAGCAATAGTACCTGCAGTCTTATTTCTTCCCCTAGTACTCTAAGTTGTGCGGCTACAGCATCAACCTCTGCTGCCTCAAGTAGTAGCCCTGTTTTGTCTACTGCAGTTCCTTCATCTCCGGTGATGCCTATCTTCAAATTTGGGGACTCTACTGAACCATTATCTTCAGCAACTTCAGCGTCTAGTGCAGAAACATCAGTTATGAATATAAGAACAGAAAAAGAAGCAATTTCTGGCAGCTCAAGTGATTTACTTTCTGGCAATTCTTCCTTTGCCTCGGTAGCAACTGGAAGTAACATTTTTGGCTTGACTTCTACAATTGTATCTTCTATAGCTAACAGCCAGTCTCAGGGTTCTTTTCCCAGCACCGGCATGCCTAATCAGTTTGGTTCCTCTGCATCACCTTCAGTTCTTGGAACTTCTGGAGTTACATCTTTTACCTCCAGCAATACTCTATCTAGTTCTTCAACAACATCTACCCCAATGTTTGGCGCAGGTACTGGTTATGGTCTTAGCACTTCAGCCTCCTCAGCGGAGACCAAGTCAGTCAGCGCAGGAAATGGTGCAACTTCTAGCATCTTTACTTTGGGGATCAATGCTCCATCTTCTTCATCAATAACCAATGCAATCAGCTCAAATGGTGTTGGTGGTGCGCCTGCTGCATTCAGTTTTGGTACAAGTTCTTTGGCTACCTCTTCATCTGCAAATGCAACTAGCTCTAGCAGTGGTGCTACTCCCATCTTTAATTTTGGTAGCAGTAACATGGTTAGCTCCAGTTCTGGTGGTGGCTCTAGTATATTTGGTGTCAGCAATTTTTCTTCCTCTTCTGAAAGTAATCCTGCTAGCTCTAGCAGTGCTGCTGCTAGCATTTTTGGTTCCAGTTGGCAAGCTTCAAAGTCTTCTTCCCCCTTTGGTTCCACATTCAGTTCATCTCCTTCAACTGGTTTCTCCTTTGGAGTGGGCTCATCTCCCTTTGGTAGTAGTAGCTCTGCGTCCATTGCTTTTGGGGCATCCACTGGTGCCTCACATGGATCTTTCTCCTTCAATACAGCCTCTTCTACAACCACGTCTTCGCCATCTGTGTTTAACGCAGCACCAACTTTTGGTAACTCTACTACTGCCTTTACAGCTCCCGCAGGAAATAATGACCAGATGAACACAGAAGACAGCATGGCTGAGGATCCTGTGCAGTCATCGATGCCAGCACTTCCATCGATGCCAGCACTTCCTGCTTTTGGTCAACAGGCTATTTCGCCTTCCCCTGGTGGCTTTGTTTTTGGATCAACAGTTGCGTCACAGACTACTCCATTTCAGTTTGGTGGGCAACCGAGTCAAGCGGCTCAGCAGAACCCTTCTCCTTTCCAAGCATCAGGAAGTGCGGAGTTCAATGCTGGAGGAAGCTTTTCTCTTGGCAGTGGCGGCGTTGGTGCAGACAAGTCTGGTAGGAAGATTGTGAAAGTTAGCAGAAGCAGACATCGAAAGAAGTGATGCTTCAAAATAGACTGTGGGAGTCAGTACATGGATGCCATTGTTTTATGTATTTTTCTTTTCGCATCTGTTGACTGTCAAATTTCAAAAGGCATTAAATGTCTTGATTAATGTCGCAATTTTGGATGCGTGTAATGAATGAGCCCAAAGAAGGTTGTAATGTATGCGTTATAGGACAAATACTTCATGGTCTCAGGTCATGAAATGGTGCTGTAGGCCTTGATTGGTGTACGATTTTGTAACATAAAGAAATGAATTTCGATATCCTAGAGCCTATGCAGGTTGTCATCATGGTAATTTCCTCCTCCGTTTGTCTTTATTTGTTTCTGTTTGTCATCTAGTGCTTTAATTCTTGCTCCCGTAAAACCTTTAAAAAGGTGTTAATGTTGAAAAGTGGGTCTCTGTTCTGTTGAGGTTTTTAATGTGTATATTTTTCAGCAGGGGACGGGAGTTGGGTCTTTGTAATGGATCTTGGACCGTTGGTCTCGCGTGGTTGTAGTATTTGAGTTGCACTAACACCTGAATGTGTGGGAGGGCTGGTCAGTGCTCGAAGAAAACAAAATTAACGATCGAGCGTAATATATTTGGAAGTGGAATAACCATATAAAAGTGTAATATAAGTTGCATGCCTAGCCCTAGGGCGGCGCACTCTTTCCATTCCTAAACATGTTACATCTGGACGTGGGGTGGTTACGTCTACGGTGGAAAGTTCACTTTCTGCCCACAGTAGGCAGAAGCAATGCAAGGAGGCCATGTGCTCTGTGGGGACGCACAAAGAAATAATGTACCGGACACGGGTAGGGGTGGAGCTGAGTCGAGGAGCTCGACTCGAGCTCGATATGTGCTCGGCCAAAAGCTCGAGCTTAATCGAGCTCGATCTCGAGCTGCTTGATAGAGCTATCGAGTCGAGCTCGAGCCCATAAATTTGATACTCGAAAGCTCGACGAGCTTTATTGAGTATCGTATAAAAAATTTTAAAAAAAAATTATATATAAAATTACTAATATTAGTAAATAAATTCTGAGGAATAATTATGGGTGAAATGATAATTATACTAAAAAGAATAGTCAAGTTCCTACTTCCCAATTCAGTTGCTGTGGTCATTCTGCTGTTCTTAGTTGGAGGAAGCCAAGACAAGGCCATTTCGCTTGACACAAGCTATCCCTGGGTCCAAGTCCTTGGACTACAACATAGATTTAACATTCGAGGCATCAGGGCTTGCTAACTCCATGATATCAGTTACATGGGAATGAAGACAAGGTTCAGACTCAGCGGCTAAAATTGTGCCAAAAAGCCTCTGTTATTTGACTGCTGTAATCTCGTAGTATCCCTTCTTTTGTTGCTATTTCCTGACTTTTCGAGTCTCTTGGAAGGGAAGGCTGTGGAATGATTGAAGTTATACGTTGCCCTTGCGTATCATGTAAATATTGGACAGTGGATTTTCTATATTTATATACACATATATATATCTGAGAGTTTTGCTCAAAAAAAAAAAAAAATTCCTACTTCCCGCCCAGACTTCCCATCGCTAGCCTTTCTAGCCTTTCAGCCTTTCAGTTTCAGCCTTTCTAGCCTTTCTAGCCTTTCAGCCAGTTCCCACTTCCCACTTCCCATTTCCCATTTCCCATCGAGCCTTTCTTCCTCTTTCCAACTCCCAAGTCGTGTCTCTGTTGCTAGCTCGTTGAAGCTTCCCAGAGCAGCTATTGATTTGCTTATCCATCGCGGTAGCTTTTGAATCCGCCTGTAAGTTCAGAATCTCCTTCTCCTTTTTGAATTTATGTATTAAGCATGCGGGTAAGAACTTGGTTGTATTATGTATTAAGCATTTAAGCATACTGGTAAGGAAAACGTGAGGAAAATTTGTATTTTAAGCTTGTTGCTGAAATTGTTGGTTATTGTATTTAGATTTGGTCACCACAACCCGTGCATCTGATATGAAAGCCTCCTCGTCTTCTCCGACCTTTTATTTTTTCTTCTCCTTCTCTTGAATCTCTGCCACCCACTGGCTGTTTAGTGAAGAGTCTTCAAAGAGAGAATTTTGGGTTAAAGATTGATTTATTATTTCTGTCTTTCTGTGCAATTTCTCATAAATTGGATACGAGCAAGGTTTTTTTTTTTTTTTTGCTAGAGGAATCACTTGTTTTCTCTTGAGCCTGTTGGCAAAGGTCTGAATGCTGCCAAGGCACGTCAACAGCATGATACCCAGCAAAAGCTAAGAAACAACCATATTGATTAATGAGCATTGCTGATTTCATATTGTTCATGTTTCTAAGAATGGAACTCCTAAAGTTTTTCTTCAGTACGTGTCATCTGACCTCCATGTTAGCATATCTAGAACAATATTTGCACTTTCTATAATTGGTTTAGTTGGTCCTAGCTAACAAAAGTATAAAGTTAGGGATGAAGCAACACAAGTATAAGGGCAGGTATGTATGGATTTGCCAAGTATGATAAAAAGCAGGGATGAAGCAACACAAGTATGAAATTTCTTTTCCCTTTAGCGTAAGTCAAAAGATATTTGAGACAGTTGAAAGTTGTTTTTATTTTAAACCTTTGAAAAAAATGTAGGAAGAGTATATCATAGCATCTGATTACTGTGATTAATACAGATTTATACATTTGTTGATGATCAAAGTGTGATTAATGAAATGTAGCAGGTTTAATCTTTTCATTACTGAAAAGAATTATCAGCAGAACCTCAAAAAATGTATTCTTTATTTAATTCATATGCCTAAAACTTCTCTAAATAATTATCAGAGCAAGTTTTTTTTTTTTAAATAGTTTTGTTTACACCTTAAAAGTCTCTGAAATTCATGGTGAAAGCCTCCGTTAATGGATGTGTCTTTCTTTAGCTTGAAAATTTCCTTGCCCTGATTTGAAAATTTGTTGTCTTTCTTTAGCTTGGAGCCTTGGACTGCATGTGTTTATGGACTGATGTCAACCCAAGACAAGGGCAGTCAACCCGAGATTTCTTGTATCCCACTGGTTTCCAATGCTGATTCATGTACTCCATTGATATTGGACAACCCAATATTTGTCTCCAATGAGTCAACGATGAATCCAGGAAACATGATGACTAATCCAATTACACAAAGTAATCCTTTAGGTAATATACAAGAAGGACAAGAAGCTGTGATTATTGACGATAACAATGAAGAAGGAGAAAATGATAAATTAGATGAAGATGATGAATTCTATATTCCAAAACGGAATAAAACTTCTGAAGCTTGGGAGGACTTCAACGAATTTGAAGAAAATGGCAATTACTATGCCATTTGCCGTTACTGCAATAAAAAGCTATCGAGGGTAAATCAAAGCAAACAACTAGCTTGTGGCGGCACCGAAACTCATGTCCATCTAGAAAAGCAAGTTTAAGACAAGCTGCACAACAAACGAAACTGAACTTTCAGCCGGCTGATGATGCATTTCCTTCTATACCACCGTTGCATACCGAAAAATTTGACATGGAGAAAATGAGAGAAGCCGCTGCACATTGGATTGTGATGCACGAACATCCCTTCACCATTCTTGAAGAAGAAGGTTTGAATATTTTCCTAAAGCGTGGCATGCCCGAGTGGCAAAAGATCATTAGAGGAGTAGCAAAAAATGATTGTGTGGCAGTCTATGAACTTGAGAAAAAGAAGCTGAAGAAAAAGTTGAGAAATGTGAAAAAGGTAAGTCTCACAACCGATCTTTGGAAATCTAAAAATCAAAAGATCGAATATATGGTTATTACTTGCCATTGGATTGACTCAGATTGGAAGCTACAAAAGAGAGTGCTCAACTTTGTTCACATAACCACCTCCTAGACGAGGGGTTGAGATTGCTGCTTCACTCTTCAAGTGTGTGAAAGATTGGGGTATTGAGCAAAAAATACACACAATTTCAGTTGATAATGCTTCAGTCAATGATGTGGCTATTAGAGTTTTGCGGGATGATTTTAGTAGATCGAAGAAACTATTAGGTGGCGACAAGTTGTTTCATGTTCGATGTTGTGCGCATATCTTGAACCTTATTGTTCAAGTCGGCTTTTCTGAGATTGCGGACATTGTAAACAAAATTAGGGACAGCGTCGATTTTGTCAATCGCTCAGAGACCAGATTATTGTTGTTCGCTGAGATTGCACAACAACTTCAAATACCCGGGAAGAAGTTGCTTTATGATTGTCGAACAAGATGGAATGCCACTTTCGAAATGCTAAGCTGTGCTATGAAGTTCAAAGATGTTTTTCCTCGTTTTCAAGATAGAGATCCACTCTATGATTCCTGTCCAGCTTATGAGGATTGGGAAAAAGCAGAAAAAGTGTGCTCTGTGTTAGAGAAATTTTGGGCTGCCACGCATGTGATATCCGGGAGTAAATATCCTACGAGCAATTTATTCCTTCAAGAGGTTGTGAAAATTAAGAAAGTCTTAGATTCTCGAGAAAATGATGAAAATGACTTCATCCGAGCTATGATTAGAAAGATGAAGGCCAAGTTCGACAAATATTGGGGCGAATGCAATTTGTTAATGGCTATTGCTGCCATTTTAGATCCAAGGCAGAAAATGAGAGTTGTTGAGTTTGCCTTCCCTAAAATGTTTCCATCTTTTGAGGCACAAGAACATATTTTCAGCGTGAAGAAAGATTTATTTGAGCTTTATGATGAGTGTGCAGATTTGAATGCAACTGGAAATGAAAATGCAGTCCACTCATGTGCTTCAGAAGGGCCACAAAAAAAATGCAACATCTTCTTCTAGGTGGGTTGACTTTGATGAGTACTGTGACGAAATGGAGACTACTGAGCCACAAAAATCTGAAGTGGTGGATTATTTAGAAAAGGCTCGCCTAAAGACTGGTTCCAACCCAAATGCCTATGATTGTTTGGAGTGGTGGAAAAGCAATAGGGTTGCGTATCCAATATTGTCCGAAATGGCGGCTGACATCTTGGCTATTCCTGTAACTACAGTGGCATCTGATGCCACATTTAGTGCCGGAACTCGAGTTATTGATAGCTATCGTGCTTCCCTTCATCCAGATACGGTTCAAGTGTTGTTGTGTGCAGGGGACTGGTTTAGAAAGCTTCACGGGATCTCAAAGAAAGTGAAAGTAAGTTTTATTGTTTTATCATTCAACTTTTGTGGCCAAGTTCAACAAGTTATGACTTTTTTTCTTTCTAAATTATTTGCCTTGGGTGGTTTTTATTGTAAATGCAGCAAGCTAAAATAATCAAAGAAATTGAATTGCCCAAGATTTGAAGGTCTATTGCAAAGGGCTCATTTTGAATCAGGTCTGGCATTGTGCGTTATCTAGAGTTCTCGATAATTTTGTACCTTAATTTGATTCATTTTTTGTCTTTGGTGATATTTGACAGGACTTATATTTTTTTGGTTGGCAATAGGTGTTAGAAACTTGGAATTTTGGAATCTGAACTCTATGCAGTTAACATCTCAAATGACTTGTCTCAAATCTGAACAGTTATAGTGAATTTGGTGACTTTTTTACTCAAGCGAATGTTGACACTTGACAAGCTGTGGTTGCCAGTTGTGTTTTGACTTTTTTGACTCAAATCTGTACAACTTTGGTGAATCTGGAGATTTTTTTGACTGTTGACAAGCTGTGGCTGCCAAGTTGTGTTTTGACTTTTGACTTTGGACTCAAATCTGCATAGCTGTAGTGAATCTGGTGATTTCTTTGACTCAAGTGAATGTTGTATAGATACTACCAGGTTGTATTTTGATTTTTGACTAAAATCTGTACATGAGTTGCTGTATAGAATCTTGGCAATGGATCTTAATAGAATGTTGTATAGAGAACTTGATCTCAAATGATACAGAGTTCAGTGTATTGTGACTAAATGCTATTAATATCAAGTTCTCTATTTCTTTTGCTTACATGGCTATTTTGGCTATTGAGAAACTATCATTTTTTCTATCATATTAACTAGTTTGATAATGTTGCTTTTAGAGTGCTTGAATCACATGGTTGGCATTTGCGTTGAAATGAAGCAAAATGCATGTTTTAATATGAATTGCTATATTGAAGGATAGCACAGTTTTTTGCGCTCAATTTTTGCTGAATTCTGGTTTAGAAAACAAATGTTTTTGAGCTCATTTTACGAGCTTAGTTCGAGTACTCGAGCTCGAATCTTATACGAGTTCGAGCTCGAGTTCTCTTTAATTATATCGAGTCGAGTTCGAGTCCGAAGTTTGAGACTTGTTCGAGCAGTACTCATAACCTTCGAGCTCGAGCTCGAGTATGGTACTACTCGAGCTCGACTCGGCTCAACTCCACCCCTAGGCTCGACCCTATATCCGTGTTATAAAATTGGCATGACGTAGGTGATTCTCTTAATGCATATTCGACTTCATTTTTATTGAAAAAACATGTTCCGAGCTAATAGATATTCCTACTACCAGGGGAGAGTGCTCGCGAATCGCACGAGTGTTTGGTGCCTGTGGTTAAAAAGAATTTTTTATTGGACAAATAATAGTATATTCTGAAAAGAAATAGTCATCAAATATGACAAAACTAATAATAGTACATTCTAATTGCAGTACACACTTGTATACTTTATTTTATCAATACTTTTACAATTTTACCATTCCCAAAAAACTCCTACAAATGTCAGTTGAAAATCGTCCAAAAGGAGACATAAGTTGTTTCAGACAAAGGAATACCGAATGCCCTCCAACAGCTAGTTATAGTAACATGTTAATTGCACAACAAAAATCATACTTCAATTAAATGTGCCTATAACACCATTTCAATAATTACACCAACACATATGTTTATATGAGTTGTATTCAATGCAAAAATAATTGCAAAATAATTCCATATTCCAAAAATACTCAGATGTCTGCATAAATCAAAGTTTTAAATGCATCAAAATGAGGGAGTTTCGATAAATATATCTAAACACATGCTACTCTCAGTTGTATCGAAAGTTTTTAAAAAACTACATAATATTCTAAATATTTCCAAAAAAATTCCTATCCATGTAGTTGAAATTCAAACCCTACTTTGACCACAAGTTATTCTTATATAGTATAAAGATACAAACTAATGGATGTTTCTACTCTTATCCTTGAATAAGAATTATTTGTAATAAAACACATGTAGGTTTAAATTAAAATACCAAGTTTGCCTATTAAAATTTGTTCAAAGCAGAGGATGGATAAGTTTTTAAAAGTAGTTGGACCCTTGGATAAATTTTCTATTTTGTAATAATATAAATTCTGTTATTGTAAGATTATTAGTATAAAAAAATGAATTCTAGTTATCGTAAGATTGTCAGTTAAAGAATGAACAATGCATCATTATTATTTTTTTTGTTCAAAATTCTTTTTAAATATATGTGTTAGTGATATGAGAAAAATCTGAAAGTGTAGTTACCAATTTTAAGTAGATTAAACTAAGAAAGATTAAACAGGATTTTAAAAAAAATACTAAGCCGTGTATTGCATATTCCTTATTCAGTCCGTACCTAGTTTCAATTTCCAGTAACTTAAGGGGTGGAAATTATAAGATTGTTCCCCGAGATAAAAGCTCTCGGCCTCACGGGCGCACAAATGACAAATCCAAACTCCAAAACCCTCCAAAATTCGAGAGCAGGGTTTATCATACGGGAAGTAAAAACACAGGGTTTGAAGGAAACCAAACAAGTTCAAAGGAAATGTGGCGAAAAGCTCTGGTATCTTATGCCGGAGGGGTTCTGCTAAAACAGCCATGGTGGCGGACGATAGCTGCCCGGCTGTCGTCGAGTTCGAAAGCCACCTCCTCATCCGTCGCCGTCAACTCCATCCTTCTCCGTTCCCTCAAAGATCATTACCTTGAAGTCTCCAAAATGACCCCTCCTCCAGTAATCACCTCCATACTACTTCTCTCTCTTTCTATCTTTTTGAATTTGATAGAAAGTAGATTCTTGGATTGTTTAACTTGTTAAATTAATTATAGTTTTATTTTCTTCTTTAGGGTTTCTTTAGTCCGTGGTTTTAGGATGTTCACCTTTTTCTCTTTTTTTTTTCTTCTTCTTTTTCTGGGGTGGTAGTGGTGGTGATTACAGTGTTGGAATTACTCTCTCCCTAAATCTATAAGTGAATTAATTATGAAAGGAATGGTTATTCTGGTCTATGATGAAATTTTGGATCCTTTTACTGTTTGGAATTGGTTTGTGTGCCTACATTTTTGTAAAATGAAGCATCATTTGGAGTATAGGCATTTTACTAATTATTCTGTTATTTGTAACTTTTATGCATTCGTATATCATGGTTTGAAAGAAGAGACAGTTAAGGAAAGAAGGGACAGTTAAGGAATATGAGGGCATTGGAAGGCAGCTAGCTTCTGTTGTGTGCTGTGCGGTACAAGCAGAAGGAGTCCAGTTAAATTTAGTGCCTAAAAGAAAAGTGGCTCCTTTCAGCATTTTAAGTTATGCAAAATTTCATTTAGTGAGACTCTACATAAACTTTGAATGCACTAGGGTGTTTTCGAACTTTCTGAATGAATTTGTGGGTAGGATTATTTTTACAGCTGATATAGCTGCAAAGTTGTGTGGATAGCTGTCAGTGTACGGCAAACAATAACTACCTGTTTCACCCAAAAAGGGGAAAAAAAAACCTTTGTGTTACTGTCTTTTTGAGGAACCTGGTTGATAATACTAGCCTTTGAATGCATTTCAACTACATATCTACCTAGGAGTTAGGTATTGGGGCGTTTCTGACAGTTGGTAATACTAGGTTGATTTAATAGAGTAAGGAGCCATAATTGACATTGTCATGCCTCTAGATGTACGGTTGGAATGTCTCTATTTCTTTTGGCCTTCATCTAAAGGAATTCCATGCTTGGCAGAAAGTTAGCCCCCCTTCTCCATTCACGGTGGTGAAAGGATCAATTGACAGTGGCGGTGCCATTCTAAAACGGTCCTACGGTGAAGAAGAAATCGGTATTTCTGTGATGCGCTTGGCTAACATAATTCCTGGAGGTGGTGAAGATGATGATGAGGAGGATGATGGCATGAATCAGTTGTTCGTTCATGTTGAAATTTCAAAACCAGGGCAGCAAGATTCTCTTCATTTCCTTTGTGGGTTGTATCCAGATGCTTTAGGAATTCACTCAGTTTCGATGAGGTCGAAGATGGAATCCTCGGAGGCTGCAGCCCTGCCTGTGCTTCTTAGTAGATACAACGGCCCCACTTTTGAGTAAGTTGCTCTAGGCTGCTTATTGAGTTTGCTTTACAGCTGTTGATTGAGTCTGCTTTTCATTCTTTTTTGCTGACTATTTTAGCTTTTTAAAGTGGACACATTATGCAAAAAAGGATGGAGTTCCTGTTTCAGTCACAGTGTTCCATTATTCCGTTGTTTTGGTAAATAAGGGCTAAAATGACAATTCTTATGTTTCTTGAGACAAATAGTTTAAGGTTTACATCACTGGTTAAAATTAGTATCCAAGACTGCAGCAACATTTCTTAATCCATGCATTTTCTTCGCTAAGCAAGTGTTCGTATGCAAAGCATCTTAGTTGAAACCTGCAAATGTAATACATGGCCAGAATGTGATGGCATTTAGATTAATTGACGCAATGTCACGTAAATCTTTGGTTGCGGGTGTTATATTGCATGCTTATGTCTCATTTCTGTTTCTAGTTTTTTAATTGAGCAAGATACTGCAAGAACAGTAAAAAGGAAATGCTCATAAGGCTTCCATGTGTTGGGTCTGTTGGAGATGATCAGTTTACAATTTTCTTTCTTGATAAGCCCCTCTTT